TTTCCACGACATTCTAATTTATTGAGATGCACCTGTATACAGATTATAAATGACTGTAGTGAATAACAGATACTTGCTTGTTTAAGGTTAACTAAATTTCATATTTTATACATTAGGTGAAGGAGTGAAAAATGTATTTGGTGAAGTTGGTGGTAGAGTGTCTTTTCGTCCAACCAGCATAAATCCTCCTGTCAGCAGCATTATATGGAAACACAAAAACAGCATTGGACCTGTTGTAAAAGCGACTGAATGGGATGAAGATGATGGTTTTAACACCCCGAATCAGAGATTCAAAGGCATCACAACTCTTGATAAGGAGACTGGAGAAATCACTATAACTAATTTAAATATTGAACATAGTGGACTTTATACCATCGACATCAACAGTAAAGAGCAGGAACAAAAATTCAACTTGGAAGTGTTGGGTGAGTGGATATACTTTAAAAGCTTTACACTGATGCATTTACACTGATTAACACAGATAGTATGTGTGATTCTAATATCACCATACATGGTACACCTCCAAATAAAAATGTTTTTACTAAACATATACTACAGCTAGTAATTCTGTCAACGTTTTTTTACAATCTTTGTATGTGTAAAATATCATTTTCATATTATTATATGTTTTAGTTATTTGTAATAATATATAAAAAAAACTATTATTATGCTAACAAGAGTTAGCAAGGTATTATCATGTGATTTGACATGCCTTGGAGTAACATGTAAAAATACCAGGAGATGTGATAATCATTCTGTGCAATTGCGTGTATTGTACTGAATAATATGTCACTGCATTGTGGCAGTACTACGGTAGCCTCCTCTGATGGTATCAGATTGTGATACCATGGTACTGTGATATATACCATGGTGCTGAAGTACTTCCAAGAATACCATGGTACATGCCCCAAAACATGATAATACAATGATGCTTTCTTAGTGTACGTTATGATTTGTATCAAAATGCTATGATATTACAGTCTGATACCATCATTGAAGTTTTTAGACTTCTTTAAAGTTAGCGTAGTTGTTTTAAATTTCTTTTTTTTTTCTGTGGACTGGAACTTAATATGTTTTTTTCTTTGTTTCTTTCACAGCAGCGCTCCCCAAACCTGAGATAAAAATAGAGAAGATTGAAATCAACCCTAATGCTGTGTATTTAATATGCGAGTACAGTGAAACGATCATCTGGAAGAATTCTGCTGGAGAAACACTGAAGGGCTCACCCCACAGTCCGAAAGGAGAACTTCTCAAAGTTGAAAAACAAGGACATCCAGATGTCTTCTACACATGCACGCTCAAGAATGCAGTGAGAGAGAGCGCCAGTGATCCGGTCAATGAGCGAGATCTGTTTGAAGGTAAGATTTATTTCAACAAGTAAAGAGGAAAATCTCTGAGATAATTTTTTTATGTTTAGGTGGTGCTGGTGGTTAGGTAGTTTGCTCTTTTCTCTTCAGAAGTTGTAATTACATTCAACAAGTATATATATATTCATGCTTAAAATATCTGAATGTCACTGCATTAGAATTAGCTATTAAAATGTCAATGAAATTGTAATCTATTAGAAGACAGAACGACAGCACAAACACACTTAACCTTTCAGACACTTAACATTTCAGAAAAATACGTTTCTTGGGTGTTCTCGAAATTAAGTTTGAAATTTGAAATTTTAATTCAAATTTTAAAACCCTCAGATGCCCTCTTCCACACAAGGACTTATTATTATTATTATTATTATTATTATTTTTGGAGAGACACTAAAGTTTAAATCAGTTTAGAGAGGGAGAT